ATCACCATGCAACCAGCAGGACAGTCAAAGAAAATGGCAGAAGCACGGTTGGGCAAATGTCAGCTACACATCACTACCGTAATTCAATTCAAAAATTCAATTCAAAAATTACTTCGAAAAGTAATACATAGATAACAATTCTTAAAATGTGCATACTTTTTTTGGCACCCCTGTATAATAATTACAATAATAAAAGTAATTGTATCTACAATTATAACCACAATCCAACACATCTTTACTACCCACAGACTTATTTCAACCAACCACTTGATAGTCAAACGGTCCCTTTGAGGGCCCCCCAAATTCAAATTAGATCTTCTCAGTGCAAGGACTAGCCCTAGTTCAACCGCTCCAAGGCTTTGGGGAAGGCCGTGGCTTTCCCTGTGATGATCTAGCACACCGAGAGGGACTGAAAGAGCTAAGAGAGTGTGTGGTGGGCTATACTGCCTCGAGAGAGCTCAGGAGAGCCACACTTGGCCCCTTCTGTGAGGCCAGAAACAAGCTCTTGTACTCATCAGGGAATCAGCTTTCAGGTCTCATATACCTCATGAGCCTTGGGGGTGAAAATATGGAGGCAAAGACTTATCTGCAGTTTCTCAAAGGCAGATGAGATTTATGTCATGACTGTCCTCAGATCACAAGGGGTCCTTTCTAGTCTCTAGGGCTCCAGTGAAGAAACACAGCAGAGAGATGGGTAGGGTCTTTGAGCTTGGCCTCTCCACCCATGACCCAGCTTTTGGGTCCGGACACAGGACATGGACAAGCACTCTCTACTCAGCTAGACACAAAATTATCAGTTCCTCTTTCCAGAATGTTTCAAAGGTGAATTTTAAACCTATGTCTACTATCCCTTTGAAAGTTGAAGGTTTTGCAGGAACTTTGGAAATATCTCAGAAGGTCTTGTCAAAATTGAATTAAATTCACGGTAATTGTTTCTACAAGTGCTATAACTACTGATGTCATATGGAATAATTTCCACTTGAGAAAAAGCCATGGACCACCACATGGGTGCTATATATTAGGGACCGCTTTTTATATGCTTTGAAACATAGAAGCTTTGAGTTTAATATCTGTGTCATATGCTAAACACATGTGACCTTAACTAAATATCACAAAACCCCACCATAAATTAATCATCGACTTGAATGGTTTCCTTATTTCAAAACACATTTGTTTTGCAAGTTAATGCCCTAAGGCCAAGATTTTAAGGTGATTACACAGAGTTTAAATTAAAAACATCAGGATATAAATGTCTATACTAACACACACACACACACACAATTACAGTTCCTCTGTCATTTTTACTCAAAATAAAAGGGGAGAAATTTTTCACACATTTGGATCTTGTATTTTTGCTGCCATTGACAAATTTTGGTATTTAAGAGGACTTCATTTTACCAAACCAGAAGAACAAAGTTAACTGGAATTAGACCTTTCAAAATATCTCCCATTCTTTACCAGTTTTTGTCTGTGTGTGTGTGTGTGTGTGTGTGTGTTTCTGAAAGTTTTTTTTTAAGGAAAAAAGACCATATAAAGACTTTAAAGACTCTATAAAAAGGGAGAGATGAGTTTTAAAGTTATTTAAAAGCTGTATTTGTTTTTAAAATGTCTTTTATTTTTAGTTTGTGATCTAAGTTCCTTTGGTTCTAAGACCAACTCTCTATTCTAACATCTACTGCCAGGGCTGGAAAAATCCTGAATAAGACACTCCTCCCCATCCAAGGACAAGAGGCAATGGGGAGAATGAAGAGGCAGCTGAGAGGGGTGGGATAAACAGAGGTAGGACCTAGCTGACATCTCCTGCCTGCACTCTTCCCGCATTCAGAAGCAAGCTGTGGGATCCTGCTTCCATCAGCCTCCAAGTGAGCTCACTAAGACAATATGGACTGGGCAGTGGCTCATGGCTGTAATCCTAGCACTGTGGGAGGCCGAGACAGGAGGATTGCTTGAGCCCAAGAGTTTGAGACTAGCCTGTGCAACATAACGAAGCTAGTGTCTACAAAAAATTTTAAAAACTGGTGTGTGCCTGTGGTCCTAGCTACTTGGGAGGCTGAGGCAGGAGGATCACCTAAGCTCAGGAAATCAAGGCTGTGGTGAGTCATAATAGCACCACTGCAATCCAACCTAGGTGACAGTGAAACCCTTACTAAAAAAGAAAAAAGAAATCAATTTCACTTAAGACACATCTGGCAACATATTGATCGTTTCAAAAATAAAAAGAATAAAGTAGGCAGGATGAAACGTTTCAGGAAATACCCCCTTTTCTTGCCCTTTCCCCCTTAAAATGTATTTTAAAGCAAATATGAGAAATATTTGGAAGAAAATGGCTTGTGAAATAATCATGCTTTAGTCTGTGTCTTAAATAATCTCACAGAGTGGAATATTTACAAGAATCAAATTTTAAAATGCTCTTTATCTGTGCCTAAGTGCCTATCTTTATTATTATTGCCAAATATAAAGCAGCAACAACATACTAGTATAATTTAATATAATGTCTACCTATATAAAGATTCATAATAATCTACTCTGAAAATGTAAATGATCATCTGTTTCACTGGACTACAAACACACTTCAGTATCTAGTTAACATATTTTATTGCATGTCTTATTTTAAGCAGGAATAAGTTTTTCATTCCCTAACTAAGGAAATATTTAGTATAACAAAATTTTAATGCTTCACTCAGAGCAGAAAATAATAAGGTTTACCTATTGAATTCTCTTTCTATTTTTTAAATGTTAACGCTTTGATAGATGCTATACCTTAAAGAAAAAAGAATACCTAATACCCAAATTCAGAACGGTTTCCTAACACTGGTAAGGCTTATTCAAGGGTCTGATGTGTGAGGGGGGACCCAAAAAACTCAGAACTATCTTTTGGAGGGTGGGCCCCTTGTAGTACAGGCTTCTGCCGCTAAGTGTTCTAGGAACCCATCGGCATCCATGGACCAGCTAGCGTTGTTGTGAGAGGCTGCAATTGGCTTCAGCGAATTTTTTTTGGAGATTTTTTTAACACATTTGCCCATCTTATGGTGGGTGATTTAGAAGTACACCTGCCCACACTGTGTTCAGTGTTCAGCAGCTTTTGATAAAAGTAAAAAAAAAAACCAAAAACAGCATAACCCCGTGCCCCACCCTCGCTATTCACCTGATCTCAACCCGAGCAAATTTTTTTGTTTCCCTGGATGAAAAAAGTCCTCAAAGGATGTGCAATGTGGAAGAGGTAATACAAAAAACAGCCAAAGCACTTTAAAAAAGGCATGAAAATTGATGAGTTCCAAAACTGTTTTGAGCAGTGGAAAAAGTGTCTTGATAGGTGTATTGCATCTAATGGAGAGTGCTTTGAAAGTGACTGAAGTTTAAACACGTAAGAATAAACACACAACTTTTTATAAATAAATTCCAGATTTGGGGGGACCCCCTTGTAGTTCTGAGTCAGACCAAGCCAAACCTTGATCAAGGTGCCGGGGTCTGTCTCCTCTGCAGTTTACACAGCACTTTCAGATGCATTCTTTCACCAGACTCCCGTAATTACTCCCAAGAAACAGAGACAGGGCAGGTATCAAGATCTCCCTTAGAGATAATATTTAGTGCCATGGGTCTCCAATCTTTTCTTCTACTTGGGAGAGTCCAAAGGGGCACCTTCCCATTGTACAGCAGCAGTATCAAGGTGGTAACACTTCTAAGTGCTGTGGCAGAGATGAAAACCAAAATGAGAAAGTGGCATGGAGCATCTTTTCTCTCTAATGCCCCGGAACCATTGGAAAAACTAAGAGAGTGAATATATTTCTAAGGAAAAATTCTCTTTGGGGTAACACTGATCAGTCATTCATCTTCCATTCATTCAACAGGTAGAGCTCCTGTGGGATGGTACACCTAGCTGTGGAGACATGAAGTTAGGAGGGAAGGGAACACAGAGCCTGCCCCCAGGAAAACGTTAACTCTTGTGGGGCATGCAAACTAATAAACCATCAAGATGATCTCAGAGGTTGATATACACCACACAGGCCCTGTGCAGGTAGTGGGCGGGGAGGATAGTGATGTTGTTTGTATGGGTGGTCAGGGAGCTGAGATTTGATGTGAGGCTCTAAGCATCTAAACCAAGGTCCTAAAGCAGGAATGAGCCAATGTAGGGCAGGCCTGAGTGGCTGGATGCAGGCAGCCAGGGAGGAATGACAGAGGCTGTATTGGAGCATGAAGGGCCTTGGGCACCATGGAAAGTGGGCAGTCTGTTCCCTGTACAAAGAGAAGCCACCAGAGTGCTTCTAAGGAAGACTGTGAAACGATCATACTCGTGGCTTCCAAAGGCCTCTGCCTGCTGAGTTTCAGGAGGGCAAAAGAGAGCATGACCTGCCAGACAGAAGCTGGAGGAAAGGAGCCAGAGCCGAGATACATTCTAGAGGAGCACTGATGGGTATTATCAAAGGAGCAGACACGGAGGCAGAAGAGGAAAAGGGAGGGACCATGCATGACATGGAGGTTTTCCAGTTGGTGCATGGGGTGGGTAACAGTGCCATTTACAGGCTTAGGGGACAACAAGCAAGGGTCTATTTATCCAAGTAGAGATGCTTGTGAGAAGCCACAGAGAGGATATATGATAAGAAACTCCACACGAGACCAGAACTTGGGAGAGGGAAGATAAAAATGTGGAAGCCATCAGTGTGTGGACAGTGGCTAAAGCCAAGAGATTGGGTGGGAGAACCTAGGGAAAGGGCGTGGCCTGGGGAAAGAGGAGGAGGGTTTCCAACCCACCCTGGTCTTGGTATCGGAAGGGGAAGTGGCAAAGGATAGGAGAATTGCTCCCAGACAAGAAGAAACACCATGAGTTTCATCTAAATGTCTTGATCAGTTCCCCAGGAACTGATTACAGATGACAGTAAATAACGTTATCAATTGTTCCAGACAACTCTGCCACATCTGATAAAAATACTTACCTTTCCCAAAGTCTCTTACCAACTGGCACATTTTTAGAAGTCAGTGTGTTGCCTACTTTAAAATCTTACCTTTGCCCCAGTGTCTCCCACTCCACGTAACCCCATTGGCCCAGGGGGTCCTGGTAATCCACGAGGTCCCTGAGATGACACAATAGGGAGGGTGACCATCCTTGTGATGTCCAAGGTTCAGAAAGTAGGCAGGGAGGAGTAAAAGAAAGGTCATGTTCATACTTACAGTCACACCAGGATAGCCGTCGCCTTTGAGTCCTGGAGCACCCACGGGTCCCCGAGGGCCTGGAGCACCCTGGTAAGTTCCAACACAGGAGATGTCATGAGACTACACTCTACAATACCCGGCAAAATGTAAGCATCGCACCAACTCAGTATGCCAGAGGGGGATTTGATAAGTGCAAAGGCATACTTGGACAACTTGTGGGAGGAATTCCTGCCTCGTAGGGTACCTCATTACCCCTTCATCAGCCTTATCCTTGTCCTTCCTGGGAAGCATGGAATGAGCTTAAGGAACATATAGGAACCCCTGCAGAGCCCTCTACAGGAAACACGCTGCGTGGGAACTCGAAAATTACTTACAAAATTAATAAAAAGTTACATAGAACATTAATTAAAATTAATATTTTAATTTTAAAAATTACAAATTTTTCCCAGAACTTTGGGAGGTAGAGGTGAGAGGATTGCCTAATCCCGGGGGTTTGAGACCAACCTGGGCAACTTGGCGAGACCTCGTTAGTAAATCCCAAAATTAATGGGACATGGTGGTACACATCTGTGGTTCCAGCTACTTGGAAGGCTGAGGCAGAAGGATCGCCTGAGCCCAGCAGGTCAAAGCTGCGATAGCAGTTGATTGTGCCACCGCACTCCTGCCTGGGCAACAGAGTGAGACTCCAACTAAAAAATATATGTATATACATATATATAAAACAAATTTTGGGCGGACTTGGTAGCTCAGCCTGTAATCCCGGCACTTTGGGAGGCTGAGGCTAGTGGACTGCCTGAGCCCACAGGTTAGAGACCAGCCCAGGCAACTTGGCAAGACCTCATCTCTACAATAAATAAAAAATTAGCCGGGCGTGGTAGCGCACACCTGTAATTCCAGTTACTTGGAGGGCTGAAGTGGAAGAATCACCTAAGCCTAGTAAGTTGACTCTGGGGTGGCTGTGAGCATGGCCACTGCACTCCAGCCTGGGCAACGGAGTGAGACTCCAACTCAAAAAAAAAAAAAACCAACAAATTTTTAGTGTATCACAAATCAGGAAGTGTAAAAATGAGAAAATGTGGTAAGTGCAGTGTGAGAAGAATAGAAACGAATACATTGCAAAATGCTGAGCATAGACTAAGATGACGACCATACACTTCGTATTGTTGTGTGCAATCTATGGTCTTCATTGGGGGGCCCACATTACATGATTACATAGGGAATAAATAAACTCAAATGAAAGTAAAGACAATAATTTTTTAGAAAACAAGTTATAAAAGAATGGAACACCAAGAGTTTGTGGTTCATATCTTGGAACCTAGGAAAAAGTTATGGATATTGTTTTACAGTGACAACCTTTGGCATCAAAAACTTAGTAGTGGCCATTAACCTCCTATATACACAGCAGGGGAGGAGGATGATTGTCCTCTGGACAAGAGAGTCTTCTGAGATGTGTAACTCTCTTATAAACAGAAATCAAGAAAATTTCTGGCAAAAATTCTGGGAGCGGAAGAAAAAATATTAAGAAGAATCTTTGAGAAGATTTATTAACTATATGTCCATTACACTTCTATATAACTTTATGGAAGTACACATATATAACTATAAGAAAACTTATTAACCATATTACACTTATATGTAAGTCCATTACACTTATTAAAACTTATTACATTCTGTTTTTGCACCACATTCCATTCTGTTACTGTGATAACTGTTACAACAACCCTTGTCAATATGCATCCCTTGTTTGGATAAAGACCTGTTTAACTTTCAAAATATTTATAGTTTTTTTCATTAGAAGGAAATTCTAATAACAAGCAGAACTTTGTTTTCCAAGAACAAAGAAAGTAACAGGAATCTTAAGCACTTTTCTTTCATGCAAGGAAATTTGGGAATCAAATCGCCATTATTCTAAGCCAAAATGTTGCTGACAAGCCAACCCCAAAAAACTGTACTTAATTCTCCTATAAATAAATGATTGATTGATTGATTGAGAGTGAAGAAAAAACTGCATACCCTTTAAGCAATAAGAAGGTTAAATTTATTTTGAAAGTCATGAATGTGACAGCTGTATTTTCCTATTAGGTCTAAGAAACTGGTTTTATGTAGTTAATTTTCTTAGAATGATCAACTTTAAAAAGACTAGGTGACCACTTATAAAAACTTAATATACCATATTCATCATCAACAAAAATCCAGATGATTCTATGGAGTTGGGTGAGAGAGAGGAAGAATAAGGTCTTCAGGAGAGGTAAACATTCATGTGTCCCCAACTACAGGAACTGGTCACTTCTAAAAAGTAAGGTTTTGTGCTTTTCCAACTACATTTAAAAGCTCTAAACATTCACATATGAGACTTATACCAAAATAAAATTCCTGTTTCTCGCTGTGCTTATACAAGGAGAAGGCCAAGAAAAATAATTAAATAAATAAAGCAGTAATGGCTCTCTGGCTATTGAAAGGAAAAGAAAATTGGACGCGAAATTCACTTTTCAGTTTTTACTCCTAAGCTCGAAGCCTACAACAAATTATCAGCAGCTGCTGTAGTCTAACCTCTGGCACCACGATGGAGGGGGATAAAAACATTCAAACACTCACGGTTTACAAATATTTTTTCCCTAGAGATCTTTGTCCTTGCACCTGCAAAAATTCCAGGTAGCATGTTACTCCCAGCATGAATAGGAAATACCAAAGGCCAGGCATGGGAACAGGTTTTCTCCTGGACTCCTTACAACATTTGTATAGATGGAACCATGCCTCTTGGCTTTTCTTCACTGGATTCAAGAAAATGTCACTTCAAAGCGTGTCTCTTATTCAGTAGAAATTAGGGCAAAAATCAAAATCTGGCATTTTGAAATCAACTTTAGGGGTCGTCTGGGAGGTCCCTGAAGTATTACACAAGAGTGAATTAATGTGCCAAAGCCTCCATCAGACATTCAAGAGTGTATGAGACCCTCTAAACTGACAAATTAGGGAAGGATAGCAGGAGGAGTATCATTAGACACCAAAGGCTTAGATAACTGTTTGGGCGAACAGGCAAGTGTCTTGAAATACCATCACCTGCGAAGTCCAGTGATCATCAACAGAAAACAGGAGGGGCTTATACACACCAGCAGCACATTTAATTGCATTTTATTCCCATTGCAAAGAGACGTATAAGTGGATATATGTATAAATCAAGGTCATATCTGGAGTTTTCACGCTAGAAAATTTGGAATTTTCTCCTTGAGTTATCTCTGCAGCTTGGGTTCCTATAGAGACTGGTCTACACAGCTTGAGCTCCATTCACCTCAGGGTTTGGTCAGTAGGTGAACAACTCATTCTAGTTTGCCAGATTTTTCCAGTTTTAGCCGTAAATGCCATGAGTCTCAGAAACTCCTCAACAAACCAGGGCAGTTGTCATTCTAGCAGGAAAGACCTTCAAGAAGTGCAAGCAGGGGCTCAAGAGCTCCCCTTCCCCTTCCATAAGAACCCCTTGGCCAGGCTTGGTGGCTCAGCCTGTAATCCAGCACCTTTGGGAGGCTGAGGTGAGTGGATTGCCTGAGCCCGCGGGTTCGAGACCCGCCTGGGCAGGCGAGACCTCATCTCTACAGTAAATCAAAAAATTAGCCGGGCGTGGTAGCACGCGTCTGTAATTCTGGCTACTTGGAAGGCTGAGGCAGAAGGATCTCCGGAGCCCAGCAGGTCGAGGCTGTGGTGGCCAAGAGCGGCCACTGCACTCCAGTCTGGGCGACAGAGTGAGACTCCAACTCACAAAAAGAAAACAAAAACAAAAACAAGAACGTTTTCAGGCTAGGTGCGGTAGCTCAGGCCTATAATCCCACACTTTGGGAGGCTGAGGTGGGAGGACTGCTTGAGTCCAGGAGTTTGAGACCAACCTGGGCAACATAGCGAGACCTTGTCTATATAAAAATGTTTTTTAAAAATTCCTCAGTGTGGTGGTTTACACCTGTAGTCCCAGCAACTCAGGAGGCTGAAGTAGGAGGGTCGCCTGAGCCCAGGAAGTCAATGCTGCAGTGAGCCTTGATTGTGCCACTGCACTCTAGCCTGGGCAATAGTGTGAGACCCAACTCCCTTCCCCCCAAAAAAGCACTTTCAAATAATTGTCATACAATTACAAACATCTATCCATAGAAGCTACTGTTCTCCATATGTATGAAAAATAAACTACCTGATTGCTTGATTTTTTAAAAAAGGGAATATACTTACATTTTAGTTCATCAACATAGAGACTTTGCAAGCTTAACAATCAACTTATTACACATTAAATCTGCCTTCATTTCTCTCATGAACAGATAAAGAGCATGAACGAAGCATACCTTTGGTCCTCGAATAGAGAGTCCAGATTCTCCTTTAAATCCTGGCATCCCAAGCCCTCCTCTGTCTCCCTGTGTATTTCAAATAACATTCATAGGCTATAGGTTACATGAAAACCACAAGGGCACACAGCAAAAAGGAGATTGGCAATCTGCAAAGAGTTTAATCTATCCATCTCAGACTTTAAGAGGATATATTCTTATGTATTTGAAAAGATGTCAAATCTTACGTAAATAAAACTTGTCAGTAAAACAACTACAGCTGTTAGGAGAAAGTACATTGAAATACAAGAGAGACACCCCAAAAACTGGAATTATTTTTTGGAGGGCAGGTTCTTTGTAGTACACTCAGAATTCGTTTCTTTAGATCAAATGGTCAACCAAAGTTTTTATCTGGAAATTTTGAGAATGTTGCATCACGATTTGTGGAAGAAATGTTCTGAGTTGTGGCAAACAGGTGACTGGTTCTTCCACCATGACAATGTACCTGCCCACACCACACTGAGTATTCAGTAGTTTTTGATCAAAAACCAGCATGACTCCCATGCCCTACCCTCCCCATTCACCCGATCTTGTCCCAAGTGACTTTTTTTGCTTTCCCAGTGAAATAAGTCTTCAAAAGAAAATTTTTTTGCTGATGTGTAAGAGGTGAGACAAAAAACAGCAGAAGCACTGAAAGGCATCAAAATGGATGAGTTCAAAAACTGTTTTGAGCAGTGGAAAAAGTGTCTCAATAGGTGTGTGATTACATCAAATGGAAAACACTTTCAAGGTGACTGAAGTTTAAACATATAATAATAAATGCACAATTTTTTATTTAAAAATTCCAGGTGTTTTGGGTGTTCCCCTCCCATGTAATATGAAACCATTTAGACTAAAATATTTGGACTGTAAGAATACCTGGGAATGCCCTTAAAATGGAATGAATTTCTTTTTTGTTGACTTTCCCTTTGTAACTCCTCATCGACTCTTCTGAGTAAATGTGGTAAATTTTTACCTGCATCGGGGTCTAGGACTTGGAAGAGATAGGAAGGGGGTAAAGTGATGAGCTTGGAACCAGGGGCTGGAGCCCGACTTCCAGGTCTGACTCCGCTGCTGGCTTCACTTTGAGTATGTGAAATACCAGGGTTGAACTAGATCATGTCTTAGGGCCTTCTCAAATCTAAAGTACCAGTTCGCTGATATCACAAAAAAAATTTTTTATTCTACTGCCAGAAATTTAAAAAAAAAAATTCCAAGAAATATACCTTTGGTCCAGGTGGTCCAGGAATTGATGTTCCAGGCATTCCAAAAGGGCCCATAATGCCCGGCTCACCCTAGAAAAGAGCAAAATATACATTTCCAGCAGAGAAACCATTTATTAGAAAAAATGAATACCTGCAGATTTTAAAATGATGTTATGACTTCTGTCATTTTCAAAGACCAACGTGAAAATAATTTGAGCATCTTTTGTAAACACTGCCGAAGTCATTAACCAGTAAGATTTCAGTGCCCTTAAATAAGTGTATTCAATTAATGAAATAAGAAAATTGTATCTCTTATGCATCTTTTTATTAGCCAATAAGTAGTACTCAATTCATGGTGCTTCCCTTGTGTGTTATATGGCAGAAAGCTCAGCAAGATCTGTTTTGTTCAATTGTAACAATTATCTTCTGCATAAGTTTCAGCGTAGACTTCTAGTTCATAACTTTTTCCCTTGTTGTTTTATTGTAGTGGCTCATGGTATATCAGTCGTTCACTATACACTATCTCACATCCTTTTCTAAAAATAAATAACTTATGATTTTAAAAAATGAAATTTTGAATAGAAAAATTAAAAATAATCCTCTTTTTGGTGTCTCATATTGAGCCTCAAAGGCTCGAACTGGATCAACTGTAATTCCTGCCTCATCTGGATCCAGACCTGTGATTCTCAGATTTAGAGAGCAGAGAAATTATCAGCAGAGTTTGGCAAATGCACGGTCCTGGGTTTCAAATCCCAGAGACTCTGATTCCACAGATCCAGAGACTGGACCCAGGAATATGAATTTGATGAAGCACACCTGGTCATTCTGGTAATTCTGCTAGTTGGTGCCTTCACCACACTTTCAGAAACACTATTCCAAAGCATCGTTACTGCACACCATGAGGTGCCGTTAATCACCCACTGGGATGTGAGAAGAAATTGTTAGAACTTCTCTCTATATTTTTATCTCATCTATTAACATTTCAATGATTTATGTAAGTTTCATAACATACTGGTATGGTAGTTTATGAGTAAAAATTAAAAGTAAACATGTATTTTTAATCTATATTGCAGTGTGGTCAAAGTTTTGCTGGCAGTTTATAATCAAAACGGTTTGGAAATGCCCCTTCCAGGGTCATTGTCGGCAACTGCAACCCATGGACCGAGCCCAAGCTGCTCCTGGCTTTGTGCAGACTTGGGCTAAGAATGATTTTCACATTTTCAAATGGTCATTATACAAGAAACTTATGAAATATCTTCAGTCTTGCCCTTGACCCATGAAACCTAAAATATTTACTATCGGTCCCTTTTTTAAAAAATTATTTATTTTTATTTTAAAGATGTGGGGTACAATTCAGGGCTAGGTATACAAATGTTCATTATGCAGGCATCTGGTCCTTTTTTAAAAAAAATAGTGGAGCCATGTCTTAGCGAATGAACTATTTTGCTGCTGTGGTTCAACCTGACCCTCTGGGATCTCAGATTGCTGACTAATCCCCTCTGCTTGATCCACATCCTCTAAAAACTCAATAGCACAAGCTGCCTATTGGGTCACTCTGCTTCCTCCAGGAAGGCCTCCAACAGCCAGTCACGGGTAATGACTCCTGCAGAGCCAGGTTCATGTTCAGCTGTGGCCTTCTGCTGTGCAGTACAACCAACAAGCTGAGCATGCTGGTCTGCAGGGGCCCAGTTTGTGCCACGGCATGCATATACCAGTCCTTAAATCCTCACTTGTAAGGCACAGCCTGGGTCTGGAATCAGATAAACATCCTATCTAGCCTGTTAACAAAGGAACAAAAACATCAACCTGTGAAAATTTAGTGAAATTCTTCACTGAAGATAGGGGTAAAACAAAATTATGCTTCAGGATTTGTTTTATCTCTTTTTTAAAGGGGACTGATTACTTTTTTTTTTTTTTTTTTTTGAGTCAGGGTCTCACTCTGTTGCCCAGGCTGGAGTGCAGTGGCACTATTATGGCTCATCCCAGTAGCTGGGACTATAGGCATGCACCACCATGCCCAGCTTACTCTTTGATTTTTTGTAGAGATGAGGTCTCACTACGTTTCCCAGCCTAATCATGAACCCCTGGCCTCAAGAAATACTCCTGCCTCGGCATCCCAAAGTGCTGGAATTACAGACATGAACCATCACACCAGGTTCAATTATTTTTAAAAAATAAAAAGTATCACAGAATGTATACAGTCTCTTAAAGACCCTGTATTGAGGGGTAATTATGCTTTAAAGTATGGCAATTCTTCATCTTTAAAAACAATTTTATTTCAAAACACACAAAAAATCACCTTTGAATAAGAGTAACTGAGATGTAGAGAATAGTCACTGTTATTAATACTAAACAACACACTCATCTATATGGCATTTCTCATTATGTGCTTTTGAGCTCCTGGCAGCAGAGAGCACTCATTTGAGAAATGCAGGTTTCTGGGGCACCTACTGAACCAGATACCTGGGGCTGGTACCAGGAAATCTGGGTTTATCAAAAGCTCCCCAGGTGATACTGATGGGCACTGGAGTATAGGAATCTCTGGTCCACTGGCGATGCCTTGTTCTGTACCCGCTCTTATCTTGCCAGTATCTTTTTTTTTTTTTAATTTGCTCTTTATTCATCTGGTCCTTAAATATATCCCTTATCTCTTTCTCACAATTAGCATCTTCCCAGAGACAAGAACTCTCTTAGGGTCACAGTTTCTGTTTCCTGACACATTCAAATGACCTCAACACTCCCTATTGCTGTCAAAACACATGCTCAGTGGCTGGCCTCACAGTCTCCCTCTCTTCCTCCTGGGTACTCGTTCTGGAAAATTCACCTGGACGTAGCTCCCCTACCTCCCACTCTGCCATATTGAATTTTCTCTTGGAATGACTCCATGTATTGAACACTGACTACGTCCGAGGAATGGTGCTAAGTACCTTCTTAACTCTTTTTTTTTAACATTGATTTTTTTTTATTTTTTATTTTTTTGAGTTGGAGTCTCACTCAGTCACCCAGACTAGACTGCAGTGGCTGCTCCCAGCCACTGCAGCCTCGAACTGCTGGGCTCCAGCGATCCTTCCGCCTCAGCCTTCCAAGTAGCTGAAACTACAGGTGCACGCTACCACGCCTGGCTAATTTTTTTTTTTAATTTATTATAGAGATGAGGTGTTGCCAAGTTGCCCAGGCTCGTCTCGAACCCGCGGTCTCAGGCAATTCACTCACCTCGGCCTCCCAAAGCGCGGGATTACAGGCTGAGCCACCGAGCCTGGCCCCTCCTTAACTCTTTTAGCGCCTTGTTAACTCTTCACAACAACCCTGGAAAGTGGATTCTATTTTTATCTCCTTTCTTCAGTTAAAGTGAGAGACTCCACAAGGTTCAGGGCAGAGGGGACGGGAAGAGCCCTCCAAAGGTGCCCTTCACCACCCCACCGTGCTGCCTCTTAGACTCGGGCTCTTCTGCCGTTGTTCATGAAAACAAGATGATGGCAAATTGATATCTCTCATGTCCCACTTTCATCCCAAATTCCAAATATTTGGTTGTTACTAGAAAGGACTGACGGAGTCTCTCTTAGAAGAGTAAACATCCCTATGAATGTTTCGTATTTTGTGCAATCTCTTTATTTCATTCTAATATGGTCTGAGAAGAGGATGATTTCTACAGGATTTTTAGTCGGGGTGTTTTGTTTTGTATTTGGAATCAAGTTTTCAGCAGATACAGGACGCCAGTGTCCTTTTAAAACCAGACACAACGACAAACTCCCCAAAGCATACATGAGAATATAAGAAATTCACCTTTGGTCCTTCGGGCCCCGGAAATCCTCTCTGGCCTTGATTTCCTTTGTTTCCTTTCTTTCCTTCATCACCCTGACAAAACAATGATAAAAAAAAAAAAGAAATGCTGTGCTAGCACACCCTCCCTTCCTCATAACAACCACATCCGCGCCAGAGTCTCAAGCAATGCCAACGTGAACATGATGTGCCCCAAACACAGGTCAGTTCTACAAAATTTGTTGACGATCTTGAGCGGATTGAATGATCAGAACTTTTAGGCTTTACCATGTATTTAAGATTATTTGACATCTCCTTAATCTGAGTTCCAGATCTCTCTTTGGAAACTTTTATTTGAATTGGCAGTTCTTCCACACCTTGGTCTATTAACCGATGGTTCTGAGACATTTGCAGTTTCAGGAAAGAGAGCTATCTACGCTTTTTGCAACTTTTCCGCAATTTCCCTGTTAAAAACATAAAATGAGATGCTTGCTAAGATCACAGGCTTATTTCTTTCACAGGAGGGGACCAATGATTTTACTGGTAGGAGGAGGCTTGAACATTAGCCTGGAGCAAATTGAGAGGCGGCGGACGGGCATTTCCCAGTGAGGTTGCATAAGGTAGCACTCCCTTAAAAGGATTCTTGTACCTGCACCCAGAAGCCTTGAAGCATTCCAAAACTGTCTTTCAGCTACAAGGTACCATATGTATGTGTGTGCCCAGTTCAACAAAGGAATAACTCCTTGTGGCTTGCAGCTGAGTCCATTTAAACACTTATCATATAAATGACGGCACCAGGGTTTTCAAACTTGAGCTCCAGGACCCCCTGGGGGCTTGTTGGAACACAGATAGTGGGATCCCACACCCAAAACTTCTGAGGTCTTCTAAGACCAACTAAGGTCTGCATGGAGGTTCATGAATTTACATTTCTAACATTCCCAGGTGATGCTGAGCCTCCTGGCCAGGGACCACACTTTAAGAACCACTGGACTGGGCTAAAGCCACCAGCAAAGCAGGCACTTCTGTGGCGTTTACAGAGGTGTAATCAATCCCTCACGGTCCATGCCGTGGAGAGTAGTGATTCAGGTATGAAAAGACGGTCGAATGCCCCGACGTCACTTACTATTCCATTCTCATCTGCCAGTGGAGACAAAACCGAGTCACAACTCTTCCCTTTCTTCCACTCATTCCCATTCATTTGACTCATCTACCTAAATAACCCAGAGGACAGCAGCAGAAATCCAGTTAGATGTTCAAAGGGCCAACTCTGACCCACGACACGCCTGGGCCCTGTCATCTGTTCCTGCCACTCTTCTCCAGTGGCCTTCTCCAGTGGCCTTCCAGGAGCCACAAGTGACCTCAGATCACACCATCCACATTCTGCTCGTGGCATCTGATACCAGTTATTGCTCTCACCTGGAGCTTTCTCGTTGGCTTCCCGACATGGCATGTTTCTGCAGATGCTCTTCTAAATGTTCTTTCTCCAGCTGCCACACAAGGTGGGACTTACGCCTCAGCTCTTTCTCAAAGATATCAGTCACTCTCACAGCTTCAATTATTAACTATTTTCCAAAACAGTGTATTCTAGAAAATGTTAGCTCCTGAATGTTAATAGATTGGCATTTCTTTTTTTTTTTTTTTGAGTTGGAGTCTCACTCCATTGCCCAGGCTGGAGTGCAGTAACACACTCATAGCCAACCCAGCGTCGACCTGCTGGGCTCTGGTGATCCATCCACCTCAGTCTTCCAAGTAAGGCACAACTACAGGCATGTGCCACCATGCCTGGCTAATTTTTTTTTTTTATTGTTGAGATGAGGTCCCGCCAAGTTGCCTGGGTGGGTCTCGAACCTGCGGGCTTAGGCAATCCACTCACCTAGGCTTCCCAAAGTGCTGGGATTACAGGCTGAGTCACTGAGTCCAGCCAAGCAATTCTAAAAGTGTATTTTGCATGATGTTAAAAAGGTGTTCCTTGCGCCCCCCCCCCCATCACTTCCCTAAAAAAGGATTTCATTGCCTGGTATATCAACAAATAAAAAAGTTTGAAGTTCTACAAACATATAAAATTTCAAAATTTCACAATTAAGATTAAGAATTCAATTTTAGCTAATGTTTTCATAAGAAAAGAGAACCCCTCTCCCTCTTCCTCTCCCCCTCTCCCCTTCCCCTCTACCTGTCACTCTCCCCCATTCCTCCTCTCTCCCCTCCCCCGAGTCAAAGTCTCAGTCTATTGTCCAGGCTGGAGTACAGTGGCACAATCACAGCTCATCACAGCCTCAAACTCCTGGGCTCAAGCGATCCTCCCTCCTCAGCTTCCTGAGTAACTAGGACTGCAGGCAAGCACAGTCACACCTAGATAATTTTTAATTTTTTGTAGGGATGGGATCTTACTATGTTGCCTAGGTTGTTCTCCAACTCCTGTGCTCAAGCAATCCTCCTGCCTTGGCCTCCCAAAGTCCTGAGATTACAGGTGTGAGTCCCTGCACCTCACAGACATAGACTTCTTAAGCTATCAATTACTAGTCTAATAGAATTGTTAATAGGACACTAATAAGAATACGTGTTTTCTTTTTACTTGACTCATATATAATCCATGAGATTCTTTACGTGGGCACTGATGACTGTGTGTATAAATTGCAGGATCTTCTGGAACCTCAGAGGCTGTAGGTTATGTTACCAGTAGTCTCATCCTACTGATAAATTTGTCCATTCTCTTCTTGATATAAAGAGATATCATTCAACTAGCATTTCTACAGAGTGTAAAATAAATGTATGCCAAGCTGAAAAGTGAATTTGCCACTTAATAAGGTAATATTTCTTATTATTGTGTAAGACTCTATAAATATTTGAAGGAAATTTACAGACTGTCAAATCTCAACAATATACCTCATATGTGTCCTTCCTATGTGCTTTTTAAACATCAATCTGACCATTTATTGAGAAAACGTACTGAACTCTCCTATGTGCTGGGTCCTATGGCAGATGTTAGGAAAATAAAGATGAATAATACACACTTTTGTCCTCCAGAAGCTCACAAGACAGTGTTCATACTTTTAAGCCAGACAAAAACACATTTGACACAGTAAGAACAACGACCAAATTTCTTCTAAGTTGACTCCTTGGAATCAGGACCAGAACACAGGCCATTTCTCCCAGCCCTGTCGTGTCCCTACCTTGAGGCCAGGCTGTCCTTTTCCTGGCGGTCCTTCTGGGCCTCTTGCTCCTGGAAGCCCCGCTTCTCCCTAGAGGTGAGGACATCGATATCTCATCTGATCCCCCATAGACAGCACATTTCATCCCACCTCGTCCGCTCTTATCACCAGTGGATTCAGCCGAGATCCTCCAAACCAGACCAGACCTTCACCCTAGTCTCAAAATTAATTTGGAAGTTTACCAACTTGAATAAAGTAACATCGAGCTCCAGTGTTAACTCTGCACAGCTGGAATACCGTGGAAGAGCCCAATTTCTCAGCCAATTTCCGAAGCAATCAGTTCACTTTACTTTGGCTCTTCATTTGTATTTGGTGGGTTGTTTTTTAACAAGGAAGACCTTCAGCCTTCAGCCTTTCCATCTGCTGCTTTTCACTACTTTTTTGGAAAAATAAGTATTTCAAATGCCAACTCTAAATACTTTAGGAAATCGTTATAACGACCTTACTTCCTGAAAGCATTTACAGAGACTCTCTTTTTGGAGAGGGAATAAAAGATGGTTTTCTCTTACGTTTAAATGAATGTGCTTTCTAGAAATCCTGAAGAAACTAGGTTACTGAAGTACACTGCCAAAATACCAGCGAGATGACAGAGGCTGTGAGACCCCTGTCAGTCTTTAAGTGGACACTCATTCTTTCGGGGCTAAGTGAAGAGGGAGATTTAAGATTGTGGGGTTTTTTCCCCCCTTAAAGAGGGTAAGTTTGCCTTGGATGGTTTAATTTGAACTACTGGGGGACCCAGATATCCATTTGGTTCGATGGTTCTTACTCCAGTCACATGAACAACTTGATGTCACCTTCTTCCCGGTGGCTCCATCTTCTCCTGGGACTCCTGGCTGTCCTGGGAGGCCTACTGAGCCTGGTTCCCCCTGGTAGGTGAACAAAGATTTTATTTCCAAGAAGTTGATATTGATCTATCATACACCTCCATGTTGAGGTACTTGCAATCGGATATATCTTACAGCGTCTGCGAAAAGACTGTGAGAAATCTGATTTGTAATTAATAGTATTTAAACATTTTGACCTTGTGCAAGTTACTTAACCTCTCTGGGCCTTGGTTTTGGATTCTGTGGTTATGGGTTGAATTGTGACTCCCCAAAAGGTATGTTGATGTCCTAACTCTTGGTACCTGCAAATGTACCCTTAGTTGGAAGTAGGATCTCAGCAGATATAATCAAGTAAAGATGAGGTCATTCCAGCAGGTCCTAAGTCAGTGTGCCCGGTTTCCTTATAAGAAGGAGAAAATGCCACTTGAACACAGACACACAAGGAGAGCACAGTGACAACAGAGAGAGACTGGAGTGACGCGGCTGCCAGCCAAGGTATGCCAAGGAGGGACGGCCACCTCAAGAGGCTGAGAAGAAACAGGGGAGGCAGCTCTCTTCCAGGTGTTAGGAAGCATGGCCCTGCCGACATCTTGGCCTTGGACATCTAGCCTCTAGGGCTGTAGGACAGTCCATTTCTGTAATTTTAAGCCACTCAATTTCTGGTACTTGGTTGCAACAGCTTTAGAAAACTAACATAAAGTGAAATGAAAAATGTGGGCCCTAACACCACTTCCAGCTCTAATATTCAGTATTTCTACCTGCTTTCATGTTACTTTAAGATTAATAATAAATCCTTTAAAAGATTCAGAAAAAAATATGGCACAGTTTAGTGTCCTTGTGGCATTATTAATAGCAAAAACATATCGAAAATAATTAAAAGTCATTTCAACTAACCCAGAAAAGTTGGTGAAACAAAGAACAGTAAATCTAAAAGTAAGTAGAAGGATATAATCAAGATGAAAGAAGAAAATAAGAAACTTGGAAACAAAAAGTAAGGTGAGTCACAATATTAAAAGGTAATACTTTTCAAAAAAACTAATAAAAGTAAATAAATCTCTAACAAATTATTCCTATTTTTTAAAGGGTACCAATAAGCAATATTAGTAATGAAAGGAAGATGTAACTATACACATAGTAAAGTTTTTAAAAATCATAGCAAATTTCTGTGACAATTTTAAGCAGATATATTGGAAAACATGAATAAAGGATAATCTTCAATTGCATAAATGATGTAAAAACAAAGGGCAAGTAAAATAAACCAATACCATGAAATAAATCTAATCAGTGGCTGAAAGTTTCTATTTCCACTTTCTCCAAGATCACAGATTTAGCTGGTTTTATAGTCAAGATTTGCCAAACTTGTAAACCTTCAAAGAATAGTTATGGCTTGTCTTACACAAGCAGTTCTAAAAAAATAGAAAAGGAGAGAAGCCTACCCAATTTATTTTATGAGGTTTATAAAGCCTTGATAGAAAAATTATACAGTGTCAAGACACGAAAATGAAATTATAGACCAGACTACCTATAAAATATAGATTCAACTTAAGCTTCCATTCAAATACTACAATTTCCCCCAGTGACCAAAAAAAGTTTCTAGGCCATTGTACAGGGATAGAGGACCCAGAAAAAGTTCAGACATCTCTTTTTTTTTTTTTTTTTTTTGAATTGGAGTCTCACTCTGTCGCCCAGACTGG